GGTTTGTACCGTGCATTTTGAATGGCTGCATCTGTAGAGACCAAGAACATGTTTTTTGTATAGATCCAGTATATTCACAATTTTAAGAGGGTCACACTTTTACATTTTTAAAGCTCTAATGGGTCAACACATGTCCTTATACTTTTTTAGTGCAAAGTACAGTAGGTTGGAATCCTTTAACCCAACTAATGATAATCACGATTCAAAGACTAAGATGACATATTCATCTTCTCATAGATGTGGTGGATACAAGGAATAGTTTATGGCTCTGAATCCCAGGTACACTGCCAATGATGTCCTAGCTGTGACAGACACAGAGTTTTTTTTTTTAATTCTTTAAATCCATTTTGTTTAGAAGAGCAATGACCAGCATGTGTCATACACTGTGACTGTATTGTATCATTCCCTTCAGTAATGAACACAGTGGCTCTACATGAATCATGAGCAAACCAAACTTTTCATTACACAGTAATTTTATCATTAAGAAGTATTTTTTTAGTTTTAGGCTTTTGGAAATACTATACATCCATCACAAAAGTGATATTTATCTTTTGTTAAATCTTACCCAAACTCTCAAGTAGCACTTGATGATTACAGTAGGAAAATCTGTAAATTAGATTGAAAACCAAACTACTAATATGAATCACAAAAGACAATTACAACATTGTTGCAGGACACATTTAAATGGTAGTGGAAAATTAATAATTTAAGATTTGTGGCTTTACACTGTTAGGACAAATGGACAAATTATTTGGTGATTATCTCAAGTACTCACACTGACCCTTCAACATTTTATGATTGATTGCATGACTGCCCTGGTTTAATGTTACATTTTGCAATCATCACCTCAAATACTTTTTTAAATTATATCTTAGTTTTAGAAGGTTCAAAGAGTAAAAGCTGTAGGTTACATTAAAAAAAAAAACATAAGCCATGCGCCTATGTTTACCATTTAATATGTCTGGCTCTTTTCTTTTAATTAATTGTAATTGTGCACTGTATCCCCTTTTCTTCAATGGTAACACAATTATCATCTATTTAGATGTCAAACATCCCAAAGACCAACTTCATTGCTAGTCATTCGATCTTAATTTCACAGTTTTGGCACAGTGTAGACCCTAAAATAAAGCATGTCCAGAGTTAAAAAAACACCAATACAAACTAGCCCTTTACATTAACAACTTTTTTTACACAAATGACAAAACTGACAATTAGCTCAGGATAAGATCTATGGACCACAGAGTTGTAACTGGATTGGGATTGGGATTAGTTGCCTAAGGCTCTCTGGGCTCTCAACAAAGATGTATCTTCCAGTGCACCCCCAGACTCGCAGTGATGTCATCAAATGAAACTCTGCTCCTCCAATCAGCACTTATCTTCCTGTAAGGCACAGTGGAAGTTTACAGCATACTGTATGTGGGTCGGGGGAATTTATCTGCCAATCCTCACACTCTGTGCCGTACAGCAGGTCTTGCTGTGAGCTGGAAACTAAAGAAAGAGTTGGCAATTCGTCAAATTCAATTTCAGTTTGTATAAAATAAAAGAATGATAATCAATTGTTAAAAAAATTAAATGATAATTTGTCACAATAAAATTTCAAAGCAATTTATGATATACGAAGCACATTATTGACAACATTTCTATTGTTACTGTACATAGTATTTCAAAATATTTTATATTCCCTTGTTAAGTCTAGTATCTTGTCATCCACTTTAAGAAAGTCTGGTCTTGCAATACACACTTCAAAACTTAATTTACACCGGTCTTCCCTTTTAGAGATAGTAAATTACAGTATATTTTGACCATGATTATTAAATACTGTACTGTATTTAATTACAACT